CTCCTATCATTACATATTCAAAAGTTGGTCAAACCTACCTCTTTTGTGTTTATTTTACCTATATATCTGTAGTTTATTGGATTTTAGCGGCCATTTTGAAAAAAGCGCCCTCACGCGAAAGTTCTCAGGTTACGCCCCTTTTACCTCACATATTCTGATTCCCCATAAAAAACTGGTTTAGAAAAACCATAATTTCTACCTCTCCAAGTGGCACCTATCTCAATTATAGCCTGGTCTAATAGGAATCTTATTTAAACGAAGTGAAGTTTCTAATATGTCAATCTATACGTAATTCAACCATATCAAGTTGTAAACACCAAAATCATGAATAAAAACAATGTGTAATTAAACGGAATGAAGTAAAATCAGAATGACAAAGTTAAATTAACATGGTAAAGTTGTTTGTTGAGTGATTTTACTTCATTCCGTTTACCATTAATTATACATTGTTTTTATTTATGATCTTGGTGTTTACAACTTGATATGGTTGAATTACGTATAGATTAACGTATTACAAACTTCACTTCGTTTAAATAAGATCGCCTGTATGGAATCTCTGTACACTGATGATGACAGTAGGATCTGTCGAAACATGTATGTAGCGAAAGGCCTAGCAATGGCTAGGCCTAATAAAGTTTTCAGGCATTGCCTGAAATGATCGTTCTCAAAAGTAGTCATATTTTTAAATTTTATTAGGGTTTATTGTGTCATCGATCATTTGGTATATATATATATATATATATAACATATATGTATATATATATGTGTATAATATATATGTGTATATATATATATATATGTGTGTATTTATATATATATATATATATATGTATATATATGTATATGTATGTATATATGTATGTATGTGTGTATACACATATACATACACACACACATATATACATACATACATATATACATACATAAATAAATATACATACATATATACATATTAGGGTTTATTGTGTCATCGATCATTTGGTAACGTATATATATATATATATATATATGTATATATATATGTGTATAATATATACATGTATAATACATACATGTATATATATATTTATATATATATATGTGTGTATATATATTTATATATATATATGTGTATTTATGTATATATATGTATATGTATGTATATGTATGTATGTGTGTATACACATATACATACACATATACACACACATATATACATACATACATACACATATATACATACATACATACATAAATAAATATATATACATATACGTATATACATATATACATATATATCATCAAAGAAAGGTAAATACAGTGTTCGAATAAAGGACAAAATAATATAAGGACATAATATTATATGCAAATATTTGTTTCTAGCCGTACCTATTGTGTAATGGAGTGTATCTTGTGGTATTCAAATCTGTTCAACCATGAAGCCTCCGTGGTCTAATGGATATATCGCTCGCCTTCACAGCAAGAGGTCGCAGGTTCAAATCCCGCCAGAGGCATTTAATTACACAATTTCTTTATTCATTTATTTACAGGACTACATTCGTTGAGAGCTATGCTACACGATGTATTATTATGTCCTTTAATCGAACACTGTATTTACCTTTCTTTGATGATTTATATTTATAATTTAACAGTGTGAATGGCTATCTTGATTTATATTATATACATACATACATATATATACATATATACATATATATACATACATATATACATATATATACATACATATATACATATATATACATACACATACATACATACATATATATACAGTACATACATATACATACATACATACATACATACACATACACGTACATATACACATACATATATATACACACATATAAATATATATATACATATATACATATATACATATACACATATACATATATACATATACATATACACATATACATATATACATATATACATATATACATATATATATGTGTATATATATATGTATATATATATATACATGTATATGTCTATAACACCTGTACAGTATTAAGTAGTATGGATACTTGCCCAATATGTTTTTAAATATACATTACTAGATTACTAGATGATAGGCAATGTTTTATTATTTGATTTAAATAAATGGAGGAGGTACCTAAGGAACACGCTGTGACATCTAAACAAAATATCTCATTACTGGGCTATCCATCGACTGGTTATACTGTACCATGGTTGGAATGCAATGTAATCCATTGAAAATGAAAGGCACTTTAATCATGAACTATGACAGTTTCATCAGTCAATAGGTACACGAACATTATCTTCATCTTCTAGGTAACGATGACAGTAGCCATCCCATGGTAAATCGCTAAAAAACAAATCCACTCAGCCCCCATTAAATACGAATGTAAAAATATCTGATCTAATATATTATGTACCTAGGCCTATGTGGTTGGCCTAGGAGAGTCAAGTGCAGAGTACGAAAAGAAGTTAATCTTACTAGAGCAATGCTGAAAAGCTACCGTCTCAATAGAAAAAAAATTCAATGTGGACCTTGCTATCATGTATCTAACAGCAACGTCCTCGCCATCAACCACACCACAGTGCGGCAACACGAATTGTGCTGTACATAAACTCATCGCTACTGACTGATTTGAATGTGTGGTTTAATACACATCACATTGTTTTTCTCTCAGAGAGACCACCCACCCTTGCAAGCACCACAAAACAGCTGTACATTCTTCGCTACCAACTAGACTCATGCAGACGCATTAATTAGCTGCAAAGCTTACCATTCCAGGCCGTGATTGGTTGATAAACACAATGTGGAATATACAGGCGATTTGCAATCTGATCAATGACTAACACGCTTTCATAGGAAACCCATTTTAGTGGTAAGAGATATGATATAAAAACATACAATTTCACATATTTCCCGACAATATTTTCGCAAAAACTTCCATGTGGACCTTCAATATAAGCATTCATTTCATTGGACCTTCAATATAAAAGCATTCATTTCATTGGACCTTCAATATAAAAGCATTCATTTCATTACAACAATATAAAAGCATTCATTTCATTGGTACAGTAATTCAATTTGCTGTGCAGTACAGCTTAACAACAGGTACTGTACGTATTATATGTTAAATAATATGTTAACTTTTTCGTAGGCTGGTCATACCGAACTCGCTGGGCTATGCTAAGCCTATTTTAGCATCTAGGCTAGGCCCTAACTGGCCTACCTTATTCGGAAAGGGTTCAATAGAAATGTTCCACAAACCCATCTTTCTGGAAAACCGAACATCATACCGGTCCGGGGAGGGGGGAATCAGTATTGAGAGAGTGCACTGTACAGTACATACAAACAGATTCCTGTATTATATATTTCGCAGCATAATTTCATACTGAGGCAACAGTAGGATATTTCTGTATATGTCAATGCTACTTCATCGGTGATGGGCAGCATGATTAGCATGTCACAAATATAGTATTTGGGCCTTCCGAAGTTGGCAAGAGTGAAAGGGATTTAGGACAAGTAAAAATATTAATTTAGTGGTCCACTTGGCTAGTTAAAAAAAACCTTAATGGAAACCCCTGGAGTTGTTAATCAACAACTCCCTACTCTATAGTAGGCGTGTAAGAAAGTATTTTCCACTTTCATTTGCAAAAATAGTGGTCGTCGGCAGCCTAAAAATACTTGTTGGAAATGTTGAGTGCTGGACGGGCCCGAGAACCCTGTAAATGAGGTAATGATCAAAATAACTGTAACCATCAGCACGGGAGAAGTTTGCAGTTTTATTTTATCTGTTTTGTTCTCTGTAGATAAAAAAAATTGTTAATGTAAGACCAAAAGGTATTACTCCAACTCACCACTTAACAACTCAATCCAATTCTGCACTGTTTCCGGGGGATCAGTCTCTTTAATATGCCTCAATGCCTCATCTAGTAATACATCCCCAGTAGGTGTATCTGATTTTAAGAGAACTTTACGGTTTAAAAGACTTTTTCTCCTCATCCCTGACTTTTCCAGTTCTATCCGTCCTCGTAGTCCCAACTCAATTAGCATACACCCTCGTAGACCAGACGATATGCAATCATTCCAAAAAGATGTGTACCCCTTGAAAAACAAAAGACAATGTTGATTTATAATGTTTTGCATCGACAGGAAGCCTCAACAAATCACCAGACACTTGATGATTTAAGGAATCATGCATAATATGCAATCTCCAATATATCCTAGAAGAATTGCTAATCAATACAATGGTACAATAAAAGCAAAGTAATCATTCTCTTGATATTAATATTTGTATAATAAGAAATGAACAAAAGTATGGCTTGCACCTGAAGACTTGTAGAATACCTTAAACCAGAACACTGCGGGTGTGTACGTTCCTTTGTACGCAAAAACTAATAGGCCATGGGGTGAAGCTCAAAAGACGTCTAGAAAACGAATTCCGTTCCGATTTTTTCATTATAAAAAATTTAGGCCTACAATAGTTAAGTAATATGTCTTGAATCAAATATAGAAAGTTCGACCAAAATATCTTCTGCAATTTTAAGAAAATTATCGTTTTATTACGTTCCTAGGCTGCTGGTCGTCGGAAAACACACCGCAATACAGCGGTGTAGAAGCACGTCGCGATCATACCATGAGCTGTCCATTTGCGTCAACTCGCATGAAATCGCATCATTTTAGGTCAAATCGTGTCAAGTAATGTCAGATTGCATCAGTACACGTCAATTCGCATCAACTTACAGCATAATTATTAATGAGAAATTTCAACAAAAAAACTTATTTTATTATTGTAATTGCAATTCTTTGATATTCTTTTCAAAACAATAATTGTGTAACAATTTAAAGAAAATGTATTAGTATTTTGACTTCTTTTGACTCCAGTGGTCTTCCTTTTGGACAATGTGTCTGCATGTTCCCTGTATGTGTACTAAAGTACACACTTCATTCTTACAATATTTTTGCATTCATATTCCTTTTTTAAAATTATTGTATTTATTTTCCTTTCAAATTGTAATAAAGGATTAAATGTGGGGAAATTTAAACTTGATGCATTGTTATGATGTGCATGGATGTATATTTGTTTTGTATACTCCGGTTGACACATGTTGGGACACATTTTATTAAATAGAAATTGAAATTTAATACTGTAATATGAAAAATTCATATTTATTTCTCAAATATTCTGAGAGCTTATACAATATATAACTCTATATTTATATACTGTACACATGTTATACATATATCTTGCGCTCTAGTGAGTCTGTTACTTTTTAAATTTTCTATATAATACTTAATAAATAAATACAGTGAAGCGCTTCGCAGTCCTTTGTCATTGTGTGATTATTCTCATGGTTCTAAAGTTCTCAAGGGTTACACCGTTAAATTATTCAGTACTTTTTTAAACTTTTGTACATCATACATAATAAATAAAAATAGATAATGCTTTACATACTCCTGTGTCATTGTGTGATTAGTCTCATGGTTCTAAGTTCTTACATTCTCATGGGCTACACCGTTACATTATACTTTTTAAAGTTTTCTTTATTATACCTGTACAAAATAAATAAAAATAGATAATGCTTTACGTACTCCTGTGTCGCTGTGTGTTAAGTCTCATGGTTCTGAAGTTCTTACATTTTCAAGGGTCACACGGTTACGTTACCTTTTTTAAATTTTCTATATTATACATAATAATGATGAAATAAGAAACACATCAAATCTCAATCAAACAAATCATCTATGTAAATTTCGTCTAGGTATTCATCGTCTGCAAATTGAGCATCTTCCTACATGGTGTCTTTATCATCTCTGTTCTGACAGTTTGTACATTGACAAAGATCGGAGCATTTCATGTTCATTTTATTGCACTGACATCTGCCTTGATTGCACCCGGTCTTACAACCGCATTTGATGATCTCTATTAAACTATGCCTACTATATTATTTAAAATATACAATTTTAATTGATAAGATTAATTTTTACATGAACATAATAATTCATACTTAAACAATATATTAAATTTAAATGTAAATATAATGACATTAACGAATAAATAACAATAATTAAACGTGTACATAGTATCTATCATCACTACTACAATAACAAAATTAATATTTTTCAATCTTATAATCAATTTTATATAGCCGGGGTTAGTTTCGACCTAGGCAAACCTTTGCTAAAAAGGTACACTTTCTCCATCAAAAGGCTTTTTCTATGAATGCAATGACCTGTTCGAAGCACGAACTCCTGTAGACCAAACCCAGTACCGTTACGATTTTCAATCCTACGGGAAATCCACTGACGAAGCTAAGTGGGGTAGGGCCTGCAGTCAGCACCATTTTTTTAAAGAATATTTTTAATACATTGTACAATGTGTCTGGGTAAGGTACTGACGGGACTACACTACACTTGGTAATGATAACTTATCATTGCTATCGATTTCGTGTCGATGTAACGACGATAGCAAACAGGGTGGAAGTCTTATCACATCCTCGTAATCGTGTCTTTCCCTCATCCATTCCAAGAGGCACATCCTAGCCTAGTTAAGACACAAGTTTGTCAGCTATAGTTCGGTTATGACTGTCTAAAACTATCCATAATTTGTTACAAGTAACAATCTTCAAGAATCTGGTTGCTGTAACTAGAATTGGAGTTTCATTAGCAATTTCTTCGCGGTGAAAGCAACACTTTATTACAACACCGGCACACTGTCCGCCGCTAGTCGCCATGTTGTTGTTTACTGTTGTTGGCTGTACCACAACACGTGAAGTTATTGTAACAAAATCAATTTAATAGTAGTCTAAAAAATATTATCCTGTAATTAAAATACAAACTATATCTAATTATAATTTTTAAATTGTTTTTAAAGCAGTAATACGAAGTTCGCAAATAATAAACTACGTATCAAAAATACAATATTCGAACGAGTACAGTGACGTTTACAAAATGTCGTGTGCTAATCTAGCGCAAAGAACTTTCAATTTCGTAAGTTTAAACGTCATTTTCTCGTATTTGCAGAAGTTCTGACGGTCGAACTTTTTTTTGGTGCTTTTAAATATTATTATAATAATTATCATAATGAGTGAAAGTATTAGGAAAATTTCAGAACGGGACTAAACGTTAGGATTTTCACCCCATGGACTATAAACACAAATTTGGGAATTGCGATAATTAATAGTCACCAAATTCATTCATTGCATTTTGCAAAATTTGAAACTACTGTAATTGGACTTGCCAATTTTTATTTATCGTGGTATGGCCTGTCTCTTATACACATCTAGATGTGTATAAGAGACAGGTTCTGAAGTTCTTACATTCTCATGGGTTACACCCATTACGTTTAAATTTAAATTTTCTATATTATACATAATAATGATGAAATAAGAAACACATCAAATCTCAATCAAACAAATCATAGCAAAAATTTGGGTGGCCCCCCAAGCTTATTTCAAATAGTATGGGGTCAGGATGATAAAACCGCTGAGAAAACCTTGACCGGAAAAAATGGCAGTTTATCCTTGGCTGGGACCTGTCTATATACGTCAGCCTCTAGGCAAGGCCCATTGTGTTCTCTCTGATGATGGGACCTCACAGACTGCCTAGGCCTAGCTATAAGAAGTTGGCTAGCGTCGCAAAAGAAAGAACTGCCGACTTGTATGAGTTTTTGTCCTAAGTTCGTAGGCTATTACATTTAACTCATATTCATATTTGAATAGCACATACGATTGAGAAAACATAGTGATTTGAAAAACTTGTAATTAGCTTGAACATGGAGGTAATGTATTGTTCTATGTAATGCCTACTACTGACGTTATCACGATAAAAAAAAATGTCGGCAAACTTTTTCTGACGCATGCGCAAATCAAAATTTTTCCTAAAACACGACTCAAACCTAGTGGTAGGGGGTATATGTTTTATCGCATACAGCTTACTTTTCTATCCAACCGAAAAAACAAACATTTCCCACACAATTACATGTCCACCAGTACCTCTTGGGCACAATGTATTCCTGCCGCGAGGCACCTTTAGGAGCCTATTTGTTTACAGACATAGACAGGTATACACACATTTCACATCTGTATCATCCCAATAGTTCCTCTGCGACCTAAGGTCACAAAGGAACTAAAAATATAGTAATCTTTTTTTTAAAAACCCAAACATTGAAAGTTTACATAAAATGTTAACAGTAACAATTAATATGAGATGACCACAATTTGTAGGGTCGATGGACTATTTCTGCTTTTTATTAATATTTCAATAAAGTATTAGGAAGTTTATTTAAGTTGGGTAGGTTTCTTAGTAAAAACTGTATTACAGAATTTTAATTGATCGTAGCCCGAGACAGGAAAGAAAGAGGCAAGGGTGTTGAGGAATGATTATGCCTGTCATTTTTAAATTAACAATAAGATAAGATGAGGGAAAGTGGTAAACATCTGACTAAATATATTTTACCCATGATTTAGCACACCCCATTAGTAATTTCAATCACTGGAATAGTAGTTTTAGATTAGAATGAAATTAAGGTATGAAAATAAATGAGAAACGATTGTTGTTACTGTTAGGAATAGTATGCTAAAAAATTAATTAACTTTCAGACTGTGTTGTCACAGATATTCATTTTATACTACTTCTTTCATACTGTTAATTCATATGAAAGCCTTTCAACATAACTAAAACCATTAAATTATTGAAGCTGCTATGTTAAATAAAATGTATAATGTAATAGAAAGATTAAACGAGAACTTACCTGTTCGAAGTTTGATCACTATTTTATGAATAATAGTGGGTGAGGAGTAAACTGGGATCCCGACGATGCGCATGCGTATTTTCCAGCATATTTGAATGCACCGATTAGTACTGTAATGTACATGCATCATTTCAGCCCAACTATGGCAAGCTACACTTAATATAAAGGGCGGGTGAGGAGGGCAGTTTACACCTCACTCACTATTATTCATAAAATAGTGATCAAACTTCGAACAAGTAAGTTCTAGTTTAATCTTTCTATTTCATTTCATAGTTACGTTCGGTGCAAACTAAGACATTTAAAGCCATCTCTGGTGCCATGTTTGCTCTAGATACAATAAACCATAACCAACACTTTAAGTTGTATCCTGTGTTTTATTTCAAGTGCTAGTATGTCCCATTAAACAACTAGGGTACTCGATAAAACATAACAATACAGTATTGTGTACACCATAGTGTATAGTACAATAGAAATGGTACTACTGTCATTAAAACACAGTAGTAAGAACATCCAACAGGTTTTTTTTTTTTGGTTTTTTTTTCTTTTTTTTTTAGTGAATAGGTTTATCATAAGTTTCTAAAAGTTTTCTCATTGGTCCATCCTGCAGTTTTAATTATGTCATGAATTGGTACTCCAGATTCTTTTGCTGCCGACATGGCAGCTGCTCTCGTCGAATGTGCCTTAAATATCATGGAGTCAATACCTGCAAGCTTAAGAACATATTTTATCCACCGTGAAATTGTTTCTCTTGATACAGGTTGGAATGGCTTGCGATAGCTAACAAAAAGTTGGGTGATATCACCCCTCAAGCTCTCAGTACGTTTCAAGTACTCTTTAAGCAGTGTAATTACACATAATCTCTCCTCAGGGTTATTTGCCTAATAAGTGTCAACATTATACCAGTATTTCCTGGCCTGCTCTGCTTTAATAAGTCATTAACATAAAAAATGACTTGGTCCTCTTTTAAATCCATATTACTGATACGCAAAAGATGAAGAGTTTGGCATCTCCGTGTAGATATTATTGCTATTAGAATGCAGAGCTTTAATGTTAATTGTTTTAAGCTCAATCTCTCTATGGGATGCCAAGTCCTCAGATAGTCAAAGACTACCCAGTGGACGTTCCAAATTTTACTATACCTACTCCGTGGTGGTTTCAAGTTGAAAACACCCCTCACGAAGCAACTTACAAGTGGGTGTGGTCCTACTGTTTGTCCATTGTTAAGAATCAAGAAAGATAATGCACATCTTGCTGAATTAACTGTAGAAAAGCTTTGTGAGGTTTCATAAAATTCAAGATCATTTTTATGTCTGACTGAAAGGGTTTGTTGTCTGTAAATAACATCCACTTTCTGATATAAACAGCATACTGGTCTCTTGAAGATTTTCTCCACGATCTCATTATGATGTCCTTAGTGGCCTGTGGGATGTCTCCTATTGCTTCCCTGATAATCTGCAAGCAAGAAAAGTAAGTTTGATATTAAGGGGGTTTAGCCTGCCTGTTACAGGTTGAGATAGTAAATTTTCCCCTCTGGGTGTTACAGAATTTCCCCTCATCATTGACATTAGTTTTGGAAACCAATATTGGGTAGGCCAGTTTGGTACAACTAAAATACCAGTTGCATTATCCTGTGTTATTTTTTGCAAGCGTTTGCCAATTAAGCAAAAGGGTGGAAAAGCATAGAAAAAGAATTTGGCCCAATCTAGTGTGAATGCATCAACTTCAATTGCTCCTGGATCCGGTTTCCATGAAACATATGATGGAAGCTGTTTATTGAGTCTAGATGCAAAGAGATCAACTTCTGGGTTCCCAAATTTTGATATTTTTTTGTTAAAATAATATTTATTATAGCATCCACTCGGTTTCTTCATGGAATACTCAAGATTTTTTGTCTGCTATTGCATTTAATTCTCCTGGCAAATGTGCTGATGAGATCCATATTTTACGATTAACACACCACTGCCAAATTGTCTTTGTTAATTTGTTACAAGTGTCTGATTTTCAACCACCCATATGTTGAATGTAAGCAACTGCAGTGGTGTTCTCGAAAAAAGGCCTTAAGTCCAAAAAAGGCTGCCAGTAATTCTAGGTAGTTTATATTTAATGAATCGCTTACATAAGTTGGTTGCAAGTCATGTTCTGTCCATCTACCCCCTATGTGGTGGCCCCCATCGGTTGCTCCCCAACCTATCCCTGATGCATCAGACGTAATTGTTAAATTTGGAATACCATGACTGATCATCTTGGATGCATTTTGAATGTGGTGCATCCACCAAAGGGCATCTGTTTTTCCCCCTTCCGACAATTGCATTGCCCTATCAAAATGCCCATGGTTTTGCCTCAGTGCCATAATTTTGTCTTTCTCTAATGCCCTGTAGTGCAGTTGGCCATATTCGACAGCAGGGAAAGATGCTATCATCTTCCCTAAAAATTTTGCTACTTGGCGAATGGTCAGTGTCTTGTTTTTACACAAGTCTGTACTATCATGAAGTATTTCCTCCTTTGATAGTGGAAGAGAGATTTGCATAGTGAGAGAATTTATTTCAAATCCTAGAAATGTTATGACCTGAGTCGGTTCCAAAACAGATTTTTGATAGTTTATCAGGAAACTCAATGTTTCATTAACTGATGCCTTAGCTTTGTCGTCTGAGTTAATGCATATAATATCATCTATATAAATTAAGAATATGTGCCCTCTACAGTATTTCGTAAGTATGCTAGAGGGGGTTTTACGATTTTAGTGAACAATCTTGGACCTGAACTAAGGCCACTGGATAGCACTGCAAAGGGATACAAACTACCCCTCCAGACAAATTTCAAGTATTTATGGTCTGAATCCGCTATGGGGACTGTATAGTAAGCATCTTTGAGGTCAACAGAGGTCATATATACCCTCGGTGTTATTAACGTCAGGACATTTGCAAATGTTACCATTTTAAAATGTTTGTAGACAACAAAATCATTTAGCAGTGAAAGGTCGAGGATAGTTCTGAATCCACCATCTTTCTTCGGTCTAGCAAATATGTTAGACACAAATTGATCTTGTTCAAAGTGGGATGGCTTAACAACTTGCTTTTTTAAGAGTTTCTTAAGTTTACCATCAATTGCTATCATCTCCAGTTCTGTAAGCCGGTAGGGATAGGGTATTTTTCCCTTCATGAATATTGGAATTTGCTTAGCAAATTCTATTTTGTAGCCATTTATGGCATTTAAAACGTATGGGTCCAACATATATTTTCTCCATGTGGGTAGAAATGACCTGAGTCTTCACCTAACTGTGCCTTGGGTAACTATCTGAGAAATACATTTAAAGATGGTTGTCTCACCTACCTTTTCTGGTGCTTGTTCTGATTTTGATCCTGTTTCATTTGATGGTATGCTTTCTGCTGGTGTACTGCGGTCAACGATGCAGCTGGTCGTCAACCTCTTGGGGCTAAAAAATGTTTCCACTCTGTTTTGAAAAGCTGGTTTTGGGTATGGACTGTATCTTGTCAAGCATTTATACTGCTGGGAGCTATTAGCTGCAAACAAGCCTGATGTAGCCTTTCACTCATCATCCAGTAATTTCACAGTCTTACCAAGGTCACCAAATAGATATTCATTTGGTTTATGCGTACACAACCTTGCTTTACACAAACATGCATATCGTCTGTTTAAAGCAAGAATTTCATAATTAGCATTTGCTAACAATGCCATAGTCTCTTATGTTACAGGGTCTTCGGTTCGATGGCCCAGAGCTCTGATCATCGCTAAAATTCCTTTGATTAAAGGTTTTTGGACCCTTTGAATCTTCAAGTCCATAGACCTAGCTTTAGGTGATATACTATCCCAGATTGTTGGGTTTACTTTTGAGACAATCAATGCTTTAGTATTTTCTGGGCAACAATATGTTTTGCACAGTTCTGTCATGACTGTCTCATTAATCGGTGAATGCAACAAGTAACACTAGCTGCCATACTATCACTGATATGTGGCCCAGCTTTATCAGTGGCAGCAAAGTGTGCTGCAAATCCTGGTGGTTTCACATCACCAATAATTATGGCAGAGGCATTCTGTTCCTCCTCATGATCAGTCGCATAAATATTAACATTATCGTCAATAGCAGACTCGCTGCCTAGGCCTAGGCCCAAGCTATGATGACAGTGTGTCGTCATTATCAACAGCATTGACATTGCTAGTGCTAGGTCTAGCAGGATTCGTAGAAATTACATTCTCAATTAGCTGCATAAGCAAGCTGTTTGCTGACTGGCTTTTTCTAAAGCCTTGATTCTGTTGTCAGTGTCAGCGTTAGGCCTACGGTTTGAGGGCTGTTTCGCGGTGGGTTTCCAACCTTTTGCGGAGAACTTGTCAACCTCAGGCTCCACCGTTCGCGCCTGCTGGCTCGTCTGGCCTGGGTCTGTAGAAGTAGGCTGTTTTCGAGATCGAAATTCCGTCCTTAGTAGGGGTTGCCCCTTGAGTTTCACTCATTCTCGGAATTCTCGAAAAACAAATATACAATAGTAGTTACTATTATTGTATAGGCCTATCCAGGCTTCACCTTGACTTAGAAGCAAACTTATTTTTATCTGTCAAGGGTAACTCTGAGTGGTTACCGCTCAAACGTGGTCGTTGTATATGCCGGGAACTACGCATGCGCATTGTCAGGATCTCAGTTTGCATCGAACATAACTATGAAATAAAATCAGTGTTAATAACCACCCACTTCACATAGTTTAAGCAGATCCTTCAGAACTGTAACAGTTACCTCAGTAACAAACAAAAATAGACACATAAACTCATTTATTCCATTGTGCAAAATTAAGATGTTAAATGAAAGATTTGTTTCATAGTCATTTTTTGGCTCTATTTTCTTTTTCATATTTTCATTGTGTTTTCAATCTGTCCTACTGTATGCATATTTATATTTTAGTATATTATACTTTTATTCATTGTACTGGAAAAGCAAATTTTCATATTGTATTCACTACTACATGACCGATAGAATAAGCTTTGAACTTTAATTTTGGCATTTCAAAATTTAGTATTACTGTATCACATAATTTTTCAGTTTTCTTCCTCACAGAATCAATGATAATGAAACTGCTTGACTTGTAGGCCAATCACTGGGCATATTGATTAGGACTTCATCAGACAACTAGGACAACTACTGTAGACATAGATTGCGCACTGCTATGGTTACTCGCATAATGTTTCTAGGCTAAGCAGATACATCTTTATGTATGGTGGTTGAAATTTTGTGGTGGTTGAAAAATTCAGAGGGAGTCTTTATGGCCCAAAATTTTAGATCACATTGGTAATGTAATTTGATACTGTAGGCAAATTACAGTAATATTTTTAGCAAATTTCTTTGAAAAAATTTCGTAGGCCTAATGCCTAGGCCTAGCTAGGTGTTTTTACATGGCTTATAAAAAATGATGATGCTTCCATTTCATCCGTCCATAGTTACTTATGGGGTGGGGGGCGCGTTTATTTGAAGGGAAATTAAACGCCCAGGGGCGTTTATTCCAAATGGCCTTTTCGAGGGGTTGTTTATTCGAGGGACGTTTGTTCAAAGCACGGGCGTGTAATTGTCTTTTTATAACATTATGGATCACAAGATTAGCCCATAAATTATTATTAGGCCTATTATGATCGTTTTTGCATTATAAATTATGACGTTTTCTTTTTCAACTCTGTTTGGTTTCATGTTTTTTTTGCTTGTTATGTTTATTTTCTGAAAAATAAATAAGGTCCTCCCTCCTTCCATGCATAATGCGAATGGGCAGTTAAAAAATAAATTAGGCCTATATGTAATAATAATATTCATTTATTATAGGCCTATAAGGGTTTTGTCCTTAAGCAGGCACTTGTCTAGATAGATGCTATTTTATATTTATTTTAAACTAAAAGAGACATTTCACGATGCTTACAGAACAATTACGGTAAATTTTGAAAATGGGACAATCTGTCACCTAGCACTCAGAACGCTGTTTGATTGCTAGGGCACTGTGAGTGGAAGCAGGTAACCTCGTCTCTAAAAAATGTACTGGGCCTAGGCTTATTTGCCTTACTTTAGGCCTACAGTCGACCTTCCCATTTACAAGCTTCTCATTTATGAACCTTCTATTTTACGAACATTCGGCCGATGACGTCATCGCTAAATTTATTCATCTTATTTATGCTATTTTTATTTATTTTAAGAAAAAAGAATAACAAAGGTCATTAAAAATTGCATTATAGTACTAATTATACAGTCATTCCATAAATACATAATACTACTTTAGGCTTAGAAAAGTAAAATATAAACAAAACAAAAAAATAATCAAAACTAGGTGAAATTCAGGCAGCCATGCATGCTGCTAGGCCTACCTTGTCTGGGCTAAGGGCAAGGCTGGGCAGCCTATACGAGGGGGCCTACCCTACTCTGTCTATGGTTAACTGCGGTCATGCACTGTAAATCAAATCAGCTAGTCCGAGTATAAATGTATGGTAACATCAACCTTTTATTCTTTTAAGAATAAATCACTGTTCGGATATTCAATAAGCATATGTATTAATAATTATTTGTTTTTCACTGTCAAAAAAAAAACAAAAACGATTAGCAAGCTGCTCTATTTTTAGAAGATGACATCAGCAATTACCCATCATTCAAAGCTACAGGTACCAAAACCACATGTTTGGAAGTCAGGAAGGTCGAAAAAATAGGAAGGTTTCTTTTTTTAATTTATACAAAAATACCTTGACTTAAATAAATATTTAAGCCCAGTACTTTTAATACAAATTATATCAATGTTTGTTGACTAATTTGCTATAAATTACGAACAGAGGCCTAGCTATAGTTAGCAGAGAGCTGCTGCTAGCCCCAGCTAAACCTTGGCTAAACCACCACACTTTATGTTCAACAGTCAGCCTATAGTGACATGGAAGATTAGGTCGGTCTATCCATGGAACGATTTCCTTAGCCTATTATGAATCGACATTTATTATATTAGTTTGCCTTGCATTAACATTTAATTGATTCTTCAACGATTTCTATAAATGTTTATTGAACACTTAAATGCAAAATTATGCCTAGATATTGGTAGGCATGAAGGCCTAGTTATAGGCTACAACTTTTTGTAGCCCTATTTTTAAAGTTGAGGGCGCTATTCTTCCAAACTTCTCAATTACGAATTTTCTCAATTACGAACTGCTTTCAGCCCAAGGTGTACGTAAATGGGAAGGTCGACTGTACTATTATGCCTAGCCTAGCTAAGCCTAGCCAAGTTGAAAGGAGGAAGGTCCCATATGAAAACAATGACAGCTTGAAATTGTCTTTTCAACTTCAAAATAATTATGCTAAAATTAGTTAATTCATTCATTATTATTACTGTTTTATAAATTGTACAATTGTTAGGAAGAAGCGTGGGTTTTTGTGTGCCTCGCATGACTCGTACTGTTGGTACACGTCCCGCACGAATTACCGTCATGGCTCACACGAATTGCATGCCTCGCTGGCTCGCACTTTGGCAACCCTCCGAATTAATGGAGTAGGCCTAGAGGCCTAGGCCTTAGGCCTATTCTAATTTCTACATCTCTAGTTATACACACTAGCCTATGACTCAAATAGTGTTTCATCAGGCTAAGTATAGTATCCAAGATGTACAGACCTGCTGTACACAGGCCTACGCTAGCTGCAAGCTAGTTTGAGGATGATGATTGATGCGAAATACCACACTACTGTACTTGGCCTACTGAGCTGCTACTACTGTACTACTAACTACTATGTAGTGCTGTGTTGAAGGCTATAAAAATATACAGTGATAATCATATTCATAACAAGTCCAGCTGTATGTCTTCGTTTAATATTGTATAATATTATTTGAATATAAAATCTTAACAATTTGTTTATTAATTTTCCAGCTAGACGAAGGAAAGAAAGCACCACCATCTCCTATCAAGAATGATGATGTATCAATGTCATGCCAATTTCTGCAGTTTGGCACCCTTGTCTCCATCAGTTTTTAATTCACTGCAACTTTTGTATTAAGTATTTTAATAAGTATTATACTATTATAAATAAAAACTCAAGAGAAGTGTCTAATGTTCTCAAAATGCACTTATTCCAACAATAACATGAAGCGCCACTGATAATTACTTCGGTTTTTTAAATGGCGCTGTATAAGTTCTTACTTTATTATTATTATTAATATTATTAAAATAATTTTTATAAACATACAAACGTTTTGGGGTATCACCCTTCATTAGGTATAGGTATATACATATTATATTTTTTAAATATTGTCTATCTTTTGTATAGAATATCCATTGTACACTTATAGATATGTTGCCTTCCATGCCAATTGCAGTAGTTCACAGTACTTCTCTTCTTATACATCCTGGTACTGGTATTACTTTAAAAAAAACACCTTAAAATTCACTCTTAACTGTATTTTATGAAATATTGTTAGTTTAAATCCTTTAAAAACAATAATTGAGATGTTTATGAAAATGAAAGTGTTACAATACAATGTAGAGTGGTTGTTTTTGCTTCAATTTTTGAAGAAAACGTTTTTTGTCTTACTCAACTACTAAAATTTTTTCGTGAAGTTGAAAATTCTCTTGCCGATAAGCATCCTATGGACGTGATATATTTAGACTGCCGAAAGGCGTTTGACACGGTTCCACATGGTAGGTTGAAATCTAAACTGAAGTCTTATGGCATCAAAGGTAACATTTTGAACTGGATAAGTGAATTCTTAAAGAATAGAAGGCAGTGTGTATCTATTAAAGGTTCTGCTTCAAGATGGTTGCCTGTATCCAGTGGCGTCCCACAAGGCACAGTGACTGCATCAGTTTTATTTCTGGTCTACATTAATGATTTATTCGAAGGAATTGAATCCGATGGAAAATTATTTGCAGATGATGCCAAGATTTTCAGAAAGATTGACTCGCTTAGTGATAGAGATACTCTTCAGCAAGATCTATGTAAACTGGTTCAATGGAGTAAGAAGTGGTTACTTGAATTCATTAAGTCTAAATGCAAAGTAATGCATACTGGGAAGAAGAATCCACATTATATCTACTCGATAGATAACGCATCTCTTAACACAACCCAGGGGTTTATTTACGATGATTTCGCCAGCTACTTCAATCAATGCTGTAAAAAAATTAATACAAAAACCACCAATATAAATAGCGCAACAGGCCTGTAAAGAACCTTATTTACCTACACGAAGTTAATTTGAAATAGTATGCACTCATTTCGATGTTCCTTTCTGTTGAAAGTTCGTTAAAATGTCTACCAATTTTCAGACTCCATGTTTAAATTTCATGAACTCGCGGCGTAAACAAAGTTAAGTTCAAAGTTCGGCAGTCGCGCATGGGTGAGTCCATCAAAGAAGCCACGCCTCCAAATCACATGTTAGCCAATAAGATAATAGAAATTTCTCCTCCACCACATGCTCAGGTGATGACGACATACATCGCCCAAACTCTTTTTTCCATACACTGGGCTTCCGGGTTTTCTTACCGCGGAGAAGAAAAAAACAGATTGTCATTTTAAAATTAATTTGTGTATTTTATTTTTTATTGAACCTTTTATTTTCATTTCATATTTATTTTACTAGCCCTTTTGTGATGACATAGATATTTAGGAGAATGTAGGACATAAACCACCCAGGACATAAACCACCCAATTTGAATATACCATTGTTAAAGTGGGTGGGCAACAGGGTGAACAATGTTGGGTGGTCTTGCTTTTTAGTTATACATACAGTATAATTGTAATCTTAATATTAGTATATTTGTGGGCCTACTCTATATGTAACAGAATTTAATTTAAGTATTTAATTATTAAATTAATTATCTTCCTTTTATAATGTATAATAGCCTATAGTAATTATAGTATAAGTTAGTGTACTCTCTATGTATTATTATTATTTTTATTATTATTATTATTATCATTATCATTATTA